TAAAATTGAATTATGGGGATAAATAAAATCAAACCAAATGCCGGAAATACTCGCGCGTCGCGAACAATTAATTTGAATTTTGTAAATTTACTTGCGTGCATCTAACTCGCTTCCGATTGGTTGAAAAACAATCAGCTACTGTCAGAACTCACACATGCGCATTATCGTGAACCAGCCTTTAATATGTAAACGAGTGTCCGCTACAAGTGGAGCAAGCGGCCTCAAGTTCGCTTCTCTGATGAAAGTCTTAAGTGTTTGATATTTTAAAGGAGGCTGTTTGGTTACGGTCCGACCAAATGGATTTTTGTTTGGCTTGCTGCGAAGCTATTTATAAACTGAATTGTATATTACCAACTATCGAGTCATTTATTTTTTCTTTTACACTCCTCATGGTTTTATAATCAATGTTTTCTGATTTCCCTTTGCGTGTTGCAAATAAATTATCTACTTCGCCTTCGCCAAATACGTTCAAATCTGGCTGGGATCTAACTCTATACAACTCGTCAAGTGTAATCATATAACTTTCATAAAGCTTTATCGTTGGCTTTGAATAATGGGTTTCAACTAGTTGTCTTACAACACGAATCTCAAGCCTGACTTGCTTATATTTTGAAAAGAAATCTAGGAGCCCTTCGATCTTTTTTGTTTTTGTTTGTGTTTTCTGTTTTTCTTTTTCTTTTCTTTTTTTAAACATGAATAATAAATCATTTAATAATTTTTCCGCAGTTATTTTTTTAATGGATGAGTAATTAACTAACTACGAGGCAAAGCCGGTCCTTATCCAGAACTAAACTCGAAACCTCCCGTAGTGTGTGTTGAAAATAGATCGTAAAAGCGCGTCAAAGAAAAAAAAACGTTAACATATTTTGCCCTGATCGTCACAAATAATTCAACTAAAGCTTTCCTACTTCATTAATAATAAAATATACTCGGGAAAAACTTGCACAGAGAACCAAAATTTCCAATGATAGCATACCTCCTCATATGTCCTCCTTTTAAAAGAAGAGAATATCTTTGAAATAGATATAGTAATCAATAAATAGTCTGTTTAGAGAAATTGCTGTCTCGCTTGTATTTGAATTTGTATTTAATTTTTACTCCATCCTATAGTTGTTTAGTGGTACAATAATAATTAGTACAAGGTTGTTTAAACTACGTGTACATAAGAAAAAAAAAGAAAAAAATTAGAATGGAGAAGGGCACGTGATAGTAAAACTGATTACGGCCCTTTACCAAGATTGACTTTTATTATTCTATTATGGCTCACAAACACACACGCATACACACATACACACGCACATAAGTCAATATTAAGCAAGATAATATTTTTTAAGTGCGTTTTTGAACAGGAACTCTTACACGAAAAACTAAATTATTTCAAAACACATAAAAGGCAATAAATAACACTAAACTAGCCAGCTTCAAAAGACGCAGCCATCATCATCGCTGACCGCTGACCCCATTGGACTCACTTTTTGTCAAAGTGTAATTATTGTGTGATATATATGCATAATGCACTTATCAATTGAAACCCCGACCCCCCCCCACCCCGGGCCTATGTGGGGCAATGTGGGGGATTTTTATGGTATTTGAAGGCATGGTTAGCCCGTGGGGGTGGGGGATTTCTCAGGATTTGCTTAGCATATTCATGGAAGTCCATGGAAGTCGGGGAGCGAGGTGGGGATTTGACTCGTGCCTAGTTTCCTCACGGTAATTTCTTCACGTGATCACTGGTATTTTGATGTATTGCTCGGCCGTAAGTTTCCTAATTGTTTTCCTTTCATTTCTTCACTGAGACTAATCCTTTGCGATTTTGCCTTGAGCTTTCATGGTTCGTTGACTGGAAATTGTTATTGTTATTCAAAACTTCTCAAACAATGCAGATACAAACTCCTCTACTTATTATAAAAGGTGCTGTGTCACGGCTATCTGGTTCATTTTGTTAATATTGCCAGTTACGTGGTCCCTATTCGCTTTTGAGCGTTACGTTGGCAAAGAAATGAAGAAATCAAAGCTTCGTTTTAAACAGATGTTTCTCCCAAGCATATCAAGCGTTACGGACGAAAACAATGAACTTTGAAAAACTGTTAGGTTAACAAGTTTTCAAAAACCAAAATTTCAATCCGTTTTAATCTTCTTCATGTTTTCCCATCTGTACCTTCTTTTGTATTTGCTGAGTCATTTATACCATCTTTTAATGTCTTAAGCGGTTATTTTTATGTTTCACTCAATTTGGTGGCAGTTCCCACAGCCTACATTTTGGTAAATTTCATGACACAGCTCGTTTAACGTCTAGTGTTAAACCCATGTGGTTTCTGAAGTTCTATATTTCCTCATTCTTTAAGCCAAAATATAAAATATAGCTCCTAGGAACTATTTTATGCAGTCTATTTATAACATCAGCTTGTGAAGGTTAAGGTATGTTGGCTGCCATTTTCAATTAAACATATCATTGCAGATATTACTTTCAATGGAGATGGTACAGATTTCCTTTTAATATAACTTTATAGCAATGTGCTACTCCATCATCCATTTTGTACCCTGACTTTTTTATAAGTGGGTAGGGGTCATTATGTTTACTTATTGTCAAATATTTGTTGTATTTATATCTTGGTCTGTTATCATATTTGCCTTTTTGCTGTAGTAAATTTGTCAATATTAAGAAGTTGAAAATTCGAACGAAATATTAATAAAGTCAGTCAGGGAATTAAAAAGGTTTCCCCACCTGGGTGGGGGTTTTACCAGTCAATATGCCCCAGTAGGGTGGGAGTTTGCTAAGATTTGTAATGATGTCAAGTCAAATCCCCACCTTGGCCCGGGGTGGGGGGGGTCGGGGTTTCAATTGATAAGTGCATAAGTCAGTACTGCACTAAATAAAATCGGAACAGGTGCATGCAGGTGCTTTCATTTTCTCGTTAGGAGTATTGATCGCAGCCAAGATAAAGTAATCATAGTATGGAAACTCCTGGTTTTGGGTTATTGGCTGGGTTCTTTCCGTTGTGTCGATAACTGGAAATGGCTTCACTCAAGAGCCATAATGTCTCTTGCTTCACTATATTGCTTGTTGGCCGCAATCGACCCCTCCGCACCAAAACCAACGCGTTTTTAGCTTCGCTTGCTGTGGCGGATTTTCTTGTTGGAGTGGGCATCGTTCCTTCTTTTTTCTTCTGCGAGATCGCAAAAGGCGGGTGTAAATGGTCTCGAGCCTGGTCCACCTGGCTCCCTGGTTTAATACGATGGCTATTTGGATACGCGTCGGTATTCAATTTGTGCAGCTTGGTGACAGATCGCTATATAGCTATTGTAAGGCCTTTAAAATACGTAACTTGCGTATAACTGCACGTTGAGTGATTCAAATGATATTCCTTTCTTGGGCGATCCCCTTTGGATTTGTGAATTGTTCCTGCGGAATTCACTCTCGCTGTGGCTTTGTATTACTCTTTCTCAGCCTTCCTCCTATGCGCCACGTATCGTGAAATGTTTCGGATTTTAACTCCCAAAAGTCCCCTTTGCTGGGTTTCTAAGGAGTATGTCTAAATGTCGCGGGTCGCGACTCGCGGGTAGAGGTCGCGGGTGCGGGTGCGGGTAAAGGTCGCGGGTACGGGTAAGTGTCGCGGGTAAAAATAAATCACCAAATTTAACCAAGAGATAAAATAAACAACGAAACAAAAATTTCTTTTCTTAACTTTTCTAACGAAGACTAGTCAGCAGCGCAAAGGAAGACTTCTTGTAGTTGTAAGCTTTTCGTTTATTTCCGACGCGTTTCGTCTCTTACTGAGACTTCTTCAGGGAATGAATACAACTAATAAAGAACTGCATATAAAACACGTTTTCTGGGTAAGTAAAAATTCCGATAGAAGTGAATAATAACGTAACTTAACCATGCTGTAAATGGACGTTATAAGAAACGCCTTAATACATATGTTAATGCGTGCTGTCATATTTTGGAGGCCATACGATCAGCGCTAATCGTAAGGCCCCCAAAAACTCAACGGAACTATCGGACTCCATCAGGATAAAGAATGCGATCGATCGAAGTAAACCTTGAAATATTCTTTCTTTTTGTCACTCTGTGAAATCAGAACTATGAATGAGAGCTTTACCCACGTTCACGGATATTGTTGCCGTGATCAAGCCGCCAGTAACGTGGGAAAAATTCGATTTACCAGGATGGCAAATTCTTTCGTGCGACCGCGCCAAAATTGAGCACGAACGACGAATGACAACTATCGATTCATACTTTTTTTGCTGAGGAAGTAAGTACATGCAAGTCTCATAAAAAAAATCAAAGCTGTATTTTCGATGAACCAAATTATGTCTTCATATATATACATGGAAAACCACTTTTTTTAAGTGGACATGTCACATAAGCTGACACTGCGGACGCTTACACTGAATAAAGAATGGGTCAAGAAGGGGAGAGAAAACATAGAGGGTGGTCAAGAATGTAGTTTAAGGGGAGGGGAGATTGTTTTTGTCAAAGAAGTAGCCACCTTTGTAAGATCAGTGGCTGGAGGACTTAATCATTTCTTTTTGTTTAATTTTCAAGGGCTCGTTGTTGAAAAACAAAAAAAGTTCTAATTGAAGTATTATATGGTCTTCTTAAATGTAACAGCTATTTCTAACTCTTTCATGTCTAAGCTATCACAGCGCTAATCCCCCGTTTCACTTGCCATTTTCAGGTCTTGGCCGGAGAGGAGGAGTTCTTGACGAAATTTTGATTTTTCCATTACTCAAAAATGAAGAGAGAAATGTACTAGGCATGGAGGAAACATTATTTAAGGCTGATCACTCGCAACATGGTAATTATCAAAAACCAAGTGGCAGATTACGCATTTATGCCCCTAAAATATTTTCATTTGTCTTGGGTTGCAGAAAAAAGATAAAAAAGAAGTATCAGAAAAGAAAAAAGAAGTATTAATTAAAGTAAGTTTTTCAGTCCGATGGGGTTTCGGCTGTTTAAAGCTGGCACTGAATTTTTACACACCCTTTTCAATTCACTTCGCTGCTACATATAGATAATATAGAGGTCAGCAAAGGGCGAACTTTGACTTGTGAAAAAGTCATGCATTCTGCAAAACAGCAACATAAAATGACTACTTCAAGCTAAATTCAAGCTTTAAAGAGAACATGAACCCGAAATACTTTTCTTTTCTCTATCAAAACCTGAATCCCCTCCCCTACAAATCCCAATCGCAGGTATCTCGGTTACTTGGTGCAAATTTAACTAGCCAATGTAGTTTTAAGCATGTGGATTTTTCTTTAGTGATTTTTTCCTTTGTATCGCCCTTAGTTAGCTATAAATAACTAGACTTCCTCGTTCTGACCATTGGTTTAAAAAAAAAGTATTGCAAATCTTCTTTGAAACATAATCAAATTTTCCTTTATTTTATTGATAATTTAATGTTGAATTTGGTGATTTATGTTTACCCGCGACCCTAACCCGCGCCCGCACCCGCGACCTTTACCCGCACCCGCACACGCGACCTCTACCCGCGAGTCGCGACCCGCGACACTTAGACATACTCGTTTCTAAGTCATTCAGACAGGATATTTGTCAGTTCCATTCTCCTTGGGTGATCGTTGCAAATCGGCGGATTATTTCATCAAGGTAAACTTCCATGTTGTATGTTGGATATGGAGCAAGATTGCAGCTCGGAGAGTTTTTTATTATTAAAAATATATTTATTATCAAAAATCTGGCCGATTTTAGTAAAACGGTGGAAATCGGTGTGGATCTGCGCCTGAACTGATCACCGTAAAATTGCCCCTAAATTACATTTAATGACGACGGACACAAGCCAAAAAGGGGCGGGAATTTCCAAGCTTTGCATAAACGTTTGTTTATTGTAGACATTGAACAAAGTTTTAATCGCTCAATTAATATCGGTCATTATAGATTTCACAGCAAGTGAATCAAGAAAAAAAATACACAGCGGCTTATTTGCTTTTAATAACAGGATCCTGAAGTCTCCCGAAAATTGCTTTTCGTTAAGTTAAACGCGAGCTTCTTTTAAACTGACCATTCTAATTGCACAGGACGAAATAACGTGTTTCCGTATTTTGTAAACTCGACGGAAACGGGAAGTTGCTTATATCCGTCACGTTTCCGCCCTGCGGAAACATGGTGATCTAGTTTTCCATGGACGGGACGCGTTCCGTCATGTTTCCGCGACGGAAACGAACGATCGTGTTTCCGCCACATTTCTGTTATCACATTTCCATTCTTTCTTGTTTCCGTTACGTTTCAGGTGACGAATTTTTTTCTTTTTTTAACCCATGTCCAAGATCGCATGATCAATGTTTCCGAAAATTTGCCTTTGCGTACAATCAAGGTGAATAAAGGTAAATTTACTCTTGAGCGCGAGATCGGGCTATAAACGGTTCTCATGCATTACTCGCGCGCGTTGCATTGATGCAAAGATTGTGAAGTGTGCGAGGTTGGCATTGCTTTCCATTCTAAATGATAAAAATCGCAGAGCTTACCAACAGCTTTCGATATTTGCCAGATTGATGTCAATCAGTAAAGTACTGGCGTAAAATAAAATACTCTTAGACGGAGAAAACAAGAGGGAATGGGGCCTAGAAGAGAGTGGAGTGCTGGTCAGCGGACTTTTCTTTTGCTCATGCTCATTGCGGTCATTCTTTTTGGCGTCCATTTTGAAAGTGATTGCAACGGTTTTAAATTTGCCAGCTTCTGTAGGTTCTAGGAGCGTGGAATCGGTATATTTTTGCTTTCTAATGGCACTACAAGACATGTAAGGGTTGTTATGTATATTTGTCGACCCATCGGCCTTCAGTAATCGATCGCTTCCCTCGTAAAGCGACTCTTCTGACACAGTTTAGCAGAATGTGAGACAAAAACCTCGTGATGAGCAAGCATAAAAGTTGGATTGTTTTACCGTGCTAAGGCTATCCAAGGCGGAGGATTGTCACGGAGAATACAGATGGTAAGACGAGGTAAGCTTAACAGTTTTCCATATTTCTTTTTTGTGGTCTGTAACATTTGATATAATGCTTGGGAGACATATTTGTTGACACAAAGCTCTGATTGATAAGTACAGAAATTTCCCAAGCAGGAAACTGCAACATAATGAACCTGAATCATTTTACTAAACAGGGCAAGGCTTTGCACTGTGAGGTCTGTGAAATGATTGTAGAAAAATGGTTAGAGGGTTCCAGTGATTTTGTTACAAATAGTATATGGTGAGTCCAGGGACTCATCTTGTGAATAGGCACGAGTCCCTGTTCATAACCAGTGAGTCCCAGTTCAGAAAACAGGGATTCCTTAATTGAAAGTGCTTGGTATGGGCCTTTTAACCAGACAGTAAATCTGGAGACAGACACCAAAACTCTTATTACAGTTTACTGAAATCAAAATATAGTCCTTCTATATATTTAAAGCACAAAAAGACTAAAATATATATACATCTTTAAACAACAGCTACAGAAATCACACAAACAGGATATTCTACCAAAAAATCTTCAAATCGATTGATC